GCAGCAATTTGATCCCAAAATGACATAGCCTTAGCTCTTGCGTCGTCCGGAATGGCTGCGACATTGCTACCGGGTGGAAGAACTGCTCATTCTGCTTTGAAATTGCCATTGAACATGCAATTCATTGAAACTCCCACCTGCAACATTTCCCAAGCATCAGACATGGGAAGGGTATTGCAGAAACGCAAACTTATTGTTTGGGATGAATGCACAATGGCGCAAAAAAAAATCGCTCGAGGCTCTTCATTGATCATTGCAAGATTTGTGTGGAAACATCAGACCATTTGGGAGCGCATTAATATTACTTGCAGGAGATTTCAGGCAAACATTACCTGTAATTCCTCGATCAACACCAGCGGACGAAATAAATGTTTGCCTGAAATACTCTACTTTGTGGCGACATGTAAAGATGTTAAAATTAACTACAAATATGCATGTCCAGCTGCAAGACGATCGATCAGCTGAGATATTCTCACATCAATTGCTGGAAATTGGGAACGGAAAGGAGCCGGTTGATCTGACCTCAGGACGAATTTTGTTGCCTCATAACTTCTGCAATTTAGTGACGTCAAAAGAAGAATTGGTTGAAAAAGTATTTCCCAATATTCAAACCAATTATAAGAATCATGATTGGCAGAGTGAACGAGCTATTCTTGCGGCCAAGAACAAAGACGTCTACGAACTTAACAATATCATTCAGTCTAACATTCACTGCGAGGCAGTCACATACAAGTCCGTCGACACTGTTGTGGAAGCGGTTAATTATCTAACAGAATTTTTGAATTCACTCGATCTGCCACAGCAACGCGTGGCCGGGTACAGCTAGTACATTATAAATGATTTCTCTGAAGATGAATACAAATACATGTAATGTTATTCAAACATATATAAATACAATTTTAATTCAGAGAGATCTATACAGAGAAGCTATGCATATGTATCACCATATTGCTGTATCATGCTACTGTAACATTTACACAGTTATTCTCCTTCCATTGTGGGGATACAACTATTATGTCAGAAGTGCATAGAAAGGAACAGGTATTCTCAATTAAACCTGGCTGTACATAAATCTGAAGACCGGTGCTTTATTATGGATGTGAGAGTTGGACGCTAAACAAGAAAGAGGAATCGGTCATCAATTCTTTCGAGAGGAAAATCCTAAGACGAATTTATGGACCAATAAAAGAGAATGGGATATGAAGAATAAGATATAATAAAGAGTTATACAAATTATATAAGGAGCCAGAGATCTCAGTGACGATAAAGCTTAAAAAACTGCAATGGGCTGGGCATGTACAGAGAATGGATAAGGAGCATATCCCAAAGAAAATATTATACAGTACAACAGGTGGTAGGACACGTGCTGGGAAACCAAGAACTAGATGGATTGATGTGGTGGAAGAAGATGCAAAGAAGTTAAAGGACATAAGGAACTGGAAGAGAGCAGCAGAGGATAGAGAGGATTTGAGGGGCTTGATAAGGGAGGCCAAGGCCTGACATCGGGCTGTTGCGCCATAGAAGAAAAAAGCATATAAATCTGAAACACACAAATCTTCAGGGAGCTTCAATTTTACAATTACATCAATCATGCATTACTAGACAGGTAAGGACTGTTAAAATGAAACACCATAAAAATATGCATAAATATGAATGGTTTATTCAGGACTGGAATCTGTAACCCCGGAAAATATGATGATTAATCTGGCCATCACAATAATTGATATTATCTGTCTTGGTTTTTGAATAAGTGGATTTAGATATCCAGTAATCAATCAGTGCAATTACTTCATCAAGAATGGCTTATCAATTATTTCCGATGTGCATCCTTTTTGTGACAGCAACACAATGTGGATAAAAGTACTGCTAACATTTTGGAAATCTTCACTGTCTCCATCTTCAAAATGAAGATATTTATAACAGACTTAGTAACTGATATTTACAATATTATACAGACAGATGCCATTGCATTGTCACTTTGCTTTGAAGCTGGACACAGTAAGGAGCTCTGAAATGTTGGTAAAACAGCCTACATTCACAGAGTGCCATCACCCAGAAACAGAATCCACATTAGTATTGAACTGTGTGAAAGCCTGAAATATGCATAAAATACTGTTTGGAAAAATAAATAACAGAGGAGAATTAGTTCTGATACTATTCAAGGGTGAAAATGTTCAGTATACAGCATGTCAAACATCAGCCTATTTCCTCACTATAATCAGCTTCAATGTATATAAAAGTCACTTTAAACAGAGTAATTTCAATAACAGGTTAATTACAGCTGTAAGATCACACATTTTACTTCTCTCAACTATTGAAAGACTATGTTAACTCGAATTGTGTTATAAGAGTAGAACCTAATCTTCATGATGATTATCATGCTGTTGCTGGCTCACATTCATCGGACTTCTCTGGGGACAGACTGAATAGTCTGGTTTCAATACAGTACTTGACAAGTAATGTGATACTGGGCTGTTTTCTGGATGACTGTGCAACAATCCATAGATTTCCATAAAGCCAAAGTATGCAACTCCTACTGTAGCAGCCAATGTCAGCATCACAACAAGCATGCCCAACAGGAATCCACACAGCAATACTGAGCCCACCGTCAAAATAGTTCCTATAAGATGACACAACACACAACAGGTACATAATTTGTAACATGTCCCATACATTGTATGAAAAAGTACATACTTAAGGCCCTACATCCCTATTGTGCATGGAGCAGAAGCTCAATACTGTCCATAAAAAATTAACTAATAACTGTACTGATTTTGCTGAATGGTACATATTACAGACCAGAGATGCCACCAAATACTACAGTGTATTGATATGACTCCTACTTCATATTCAAGGGGTTACAGTTTGCAATAACAGCTCAGAGACCAGGCATCCTTGCTTAGATTTCTGTCAGTTCTTCCACACAACTGATAGGATAGTACCATAAAATTGGCCAAGACCACTTCTGCATCTTTCAGAAATAATCCAACATTCACAGTTATCCTGATATTTCATACTATGCAGTCAATCAATTTAACCAAGTATGTGATATCTAAGGGTATTGTACAATATTCTGATAGGGTTTGGGATACCCACGAAACTAGTTAGGTTGATTAAAATGTGTTTAAACAAAATGTATAATAAAGTCCGTGTAGGTAAACATTTGTCTGATAAATTTCCTATCCAGAATGGTCTAAAACAAGGAAATACTTTATCGCCACTCCTTTTCAACTTTGCCTTAGAATATGCAATTACGAAGGTCCAGGGAAGCCAGGTGGAACTGAAACTAAACAGGACACATCAGCTGTTGGTCTACGCTGATGATGTGAATCTACTGGGTGATAATGTAGATACCATAAAGAAAAACACGCAAACTTTAATGACGCAAGTAAAGAGGTTCGTCTAGAAGTAAACACAGAGAAAACTAAGTATATGTTACTGTCTCGTCACCAAAATGCAGGGCAAAATCATGATATAAAGATAGGAAACATGTGTTTTGAAAATGTGGCACAGTTCAGACATTTGGGAACAACGATAACAGATCAAAACCTGATTCAGGAGGAAATTAAGAGGCGACTGAACTCGGGTAATGTTTGCTACCATTCAGTCCAGAACCTTTTGTCTTCTCATCTGTTGTCCAAAAACATAACAATTAGAATATAAAAAACTATAATTTTGCCTGTGGTTCTGTATGGGTGTGAAACTTGGTCTCTGACATTAAGGGAGGAACATAGACTGAGGGTGTTTGAGAACAGGGTGTTGAGAATATTTGGACCAGAGAGAGATGAAGTCACAGGAGGTTGGAGAAAACTGCATGAGGAGGAGCTTCATAAATTGTACTCTTCTCCAAGTATAATTAGAATGCTCAAGTTGAGGAGGATGAGGTGGGCAGGTCATGTAGCACGAATGGGGGAGACGAGGAATGCGTATAGGATATTGGTGGGAAAGCCAGAAGGAAAGAGACCACATGGAAGACCAAGGCGTAGGTGGGTGGACAATATTAGAATGGATCTTAAGAGAGATAGGATGGGATGGTATGGATTGGATAGATCTGGCTCAGGATAGGGACCAGTGGAGGGCTCTTGTGAACATGGTGATGAACCTTTGGGTTCCATAAAATGCTGGGAAATTCTTGAGTAGCTGCAGAATTGGTGGCTCCTCAAGAAGGGCTCAGCTCCATGAGTAAGTAAGTAGTTAGTTATTGGAGAGGGTGGGTTTCCCCATGCACTGAGACCTGTATTGGTCCATTGTGCTTCCCTCTATCATTTCTACCAGTCTCTATATCCTACCGGTACTGGTGCTTACCATCAGTCCCGCCCAGCCAGCGAGGCCGGCTCTACTAGCTGAGAGGTATCTATAATGCTTCCCCTATCTACCAGAGGTATTAGAGACTGCTGTTGGGCGGGAAACGTCCGCTAATTTGGCTCAGTGACCTCCTTTGGAGATATGAGGTTCTTTTACGTGCCGTAAAGCTACGACACGGGACCCACGGCTTAATGTCCCTCCCAGAGGACTTGTTCCCTGAATTCTTCTGCCCTTAAAAATTCAACGACCTCCGCCGGGTATTTGAACCCGCGTACTACGAGTCATAAGGTGGGAACGTTACCTCTAGACTATGGAGGCCGCTGAGTAAGTAAGTAAGTACGTGATATCTAAGGTTTCATGACAGTGAATATTAAGATTACTGTCTTCTGGAATGCAACATCATATAGGCTACATGTCATTACATCACAGCAGAGAAATAGTATCTAAATCATTAACCAAACCAAAAATCAAACCAATGGCACCAATATAAGAAACATAATAAAGGGCGCTCAATCATCGAGAAAACCTGGCAACAGTGCTGAGCGGGCACAACATTCCTCACAGATTGCTGCTGTAACTGTCAATATTGGAATGAGTCATTAGCGCTGATGAACACGTGCACTCTCCCTAATGTACAGTGGATGGAAAGTTTGTCTGCGACTACTATGCCCCTTCCAGCTAGTGAGAGTGCCGTCGTGTCACTGATTCCCTTACATCAGTTTCTGTACAAACTTACCACGCTTTATAACAGGTGCTGAAAGTGACCCCCTTCTGCTTGCGAACATGCCTCACATCGCATAAATAAATTATGTGACACTTTCTGAAGTTGGTCCATGGTAACTGAACCAATTACGTGTGTTACTTCATTCTGCAGAGCTTCAGTGGTGCGAGGATTATTCTTGTAGATTTTTCCCTTTAGGTTTCCCCAAAGATAAAAATTGCAGAAACCGAGATCTGGGGATCTGAGAGGCCACAGTCACCTGTCTTTAAACACTTCCTGTATTGCGACCATGGTTGCATTTGCCATATGTGCTGTAGCGTTGTCTTGCTGAAAATACCCATATTGTCTTTCTTCAGCAGTCAGCTGACTGAAGAATGGATTCAGGATGTCATTAACGTGGTGGTCAGAGTTCACATTTTGTGGAAAAATAAGGGGCCAATGATTTGCTGCGGACTTACAGCACACCACACCCCCACCTTTTCGCTATGTAATGGCACTTGCTGTATAGCATGAGGATTTTCATTGCTCCATACTCTTCCATTTTGTGCACTGACATGACCACTAATGTGAAACCAGTGGCGTACTGTGCATGGAAGCAAGGGAAGCATTGCTTCCATAGTTAAGGAACAAAAAGAAAAGAAGTCATATACGAGTAAATAATTCAATTTGAATAATAAGGATGTGAATATTGTCATTTAGTACGTGTTCCTGCTCAAGGTCACATGCCTCCTCCTTCTTCCTTCCCATGATTGGTGGGACGGACCAAGTTTCCTTTTGTTAATCTTTGTAATAATTCGTCTAATCCGAAGGGGCCAAGGGATGCAAATTTTGGTTTGCTGGCTAGGCCAGTGAAGGAATGTGTTCTTTCGATGGTTATGTGAAAATTAACTGTGTATGTGTGATTTCAGTCTTGTTGGGTGTTATAGGTAACATTAAGTTTTATTAAAATATTGTAAGTGTATATTTAGATGGCATAAGATTGTATTTGTGATTGTATTTTGACGCATCAGAAAGAAGCTATCTGTGTTTAAGGGAAGCAAGTGTGATATTGTGGTACAAGGGCAGGGGCATGATTAGACTACACACACAGGTCACAGCTAAAATGAATGCTGGCAGACAATGCGACTGTGACTGTGCAATTGAAAGCCTTTTAAAACGGGAGTTTAATAGCAGAGACTTTTCTGAAAAGAAAATAATTATAGAAAGAGGATGATTGACATGCGAGTTGCCAGAACTTAAAGCACAAACCAAATTATGTGTGCGGAAATTTAACTTGGAACAGTATTCTAAGCCAGAGTGGCTATCCAGTTGCAGTACTATAGGAAAATTGTTTTGTTGGCCACGCCTACTGTTTCTCATTGAAAAAATGTATGGAACAAGACTGGGTTTGGTGATATCAACAATCATCATAAAGCATTGAAATGACATGCGAACTCTCAGACTCACGTTATTTCAACAATGCAACTTGTTATTTTTGGGAAATCTCGAATTGACTGTCAACTTGACAATCAAAAGCACCTGACGATACTACATAGAGAAATAATGAAATGCTTGATTGATATCTGCCATTTAGGAAAGAGGCAACTTGCCCTCCGTGGTCATGACGAAAGCGTGGATTCTATCGACCAAGGTAATTATATGGAATTAGTTCACTTGTTGAGGAAATATGATCATAAACTCAATGTTCACCTTGAGAACAGTACAGTACTTCCAGGTTTATTGAACAGAATACAAAATGACCTTACTGACTCAATGAGTGACGTAAATTTTGGTGAGCTGATTGCTATCAGTTCGTTTATTAGATACCACTGCTTCCCTTACAAAAAATAGTACTGCATGCCACTGCATGAAACCATGCTTCATCAGTCATGAACAGAAGCTGTGGGTCCACGATTCTATTGTGCACATTTTGCAAGAGCCAGTTGCAAAAACGAATTCTTGTTGCATAATATGGTTGTTTCAGCTAATGCACAACTGTTATTTTATATGGGAAAATATGATTAATTTAGTGGCTGTGAAAGCAGATCCTAGTGAAACGCCGGTTTTCGATTTTTGAGGACTGATTTGTAGTCGTGCTTCAATATCCCACTATCTTCAGTCAGCACAATCCTCTTCGATTGCTTCCTTATGTCACACATTGAACCTGTGGCCTGCCACTTTTTCACAAGTTTGGATACACACAACTTTGTGGGAACTGGCAAATCAGGATATTTACAACAAAACTTATGGATACATTTTCTGTAAGTTTTTTCCTTGCAAAAGTTTTGACAATAAACACACGCTGTTCAATAGTATAAACATCGACCACCTATTGACATCTCTAACATTGACTATTAATGTGACTTACTGCAGTGACAAGATCAGACCGCCTGACAGCGTGTGTTTAACAGCACTAATGACTCATTCTGCTATCGGTAGTTACAGCAGTAATCTGTAAGGAATGTCGTGCCCGCTCAGCGCTCTTGCCAGGTTTCCTCGATGATTGAATGCCCTTTATGTCCACAACCCTTGTGACAGTTGGCCATAAAAGTGAAAGTAACAACAATGAGATATAGTTCACTTATATTGTATCTGTATACAACAATATTATATTGCAGCATCCTGTTGCACATAATTTATTATTCAACAAATGTCTCTCATTCACTGTCTCATGTGCAATGCATGTTTCTGAAAATCATTTAGATTTCTTACATACACATAATGCGCCATTTAAACCTTATTTAAAAGCTTCTGTACATTGCACACTACATGTTTTGACTGATATTTGTCACCATCATGTTTAAAATTGTTTGGTGGAAACTGCTGTGCTGTTGTGTTGTGTGTCTAGAATTGCAAAATAAAGGTACAGCAGTTTCCAATTTTAAATACTTGATGATGAACAATGTTAGTCAAAATATGTAGTGTGTGATATGCAGAAGCTTTTAAATAAGGTTTAAAAGATGTACTGCATGTATGTAAGAAACTTTTAAATAAGTTTCAGAAGCACATGTTGCATGTGGGACAATGAATCAGACATTTGCCATGTATAATGCATAACATTTCCATCACACTTAACTTCTTTATTATGAAAGTTAAATGTTTCCCTGTGCCATTCTTTCTTACATCACATTTTCACACAATTTCACATATCAAATGCAGTCTGAATGTGACACACTTCACCAATTTACAACAGTACACAGTATGAATGAATGTATGAGGGGTAGGCCTTCTTGGTCCTTGCACCACGACCTACAGTGGCCCATTGTCCTTACAGTACACAGTAAGTATACCATGGCACAGTATGACAGATGGACCCCACACATTCATGAAAAGGAAAGTTCCCCGACTCTTATTGTTGTAACTGCCTCAGTGAAAGACAATGAGGGGAGAGGCCAAGATCACACTTTCACAAGCCTATTGCATTAGTCTGCCATGTGACAGTGCACCATGAACATGCACTGCTTTAACATGAGTGCTTTTTCGAATTCATGTTTTGTTCTGTCTGTGATGGATGGCAAAATCGAGCAATGGGTCTGCATCAAGTTTTGTGTGAAGCTCTGTAAGTCCGCTACCGAAACCCCTGAAATGCTTCATGAGCCTTTTGGTGAACATTCTTTAAGCTGGAAAGCAGTTTTTGAATGGCATTCATATTTTAAGGCTGGTCAAGTGTCAGCTGAGAATGATGAATGCTCAGGGTGACCAAGCATCAGCAAAATGACAGAAAATGTTGAAAAAATTCTAAAACTCATCCACGAAGACCACTGTCGAACAATCCGTGAGCTTGCAGACACAGTTGGGATCAGTTATGGAATTTGCCAGATTTTAAAAGAAAACTTGAACATGTGTTGCAATGCTTCTTCATCAAGACAATAAGCCTGCCCACATGTCCCTGAAATCCACAGAGTTTGTAACTAACAACATGATTATCTTCCCCCATCCTCCATACTTTCTGGACTCAGTCCCCTGTGATTTTGCTTTGTCTCCCAAATTGAAAATGAAACTGAAGGGATGTTTTGAAACAGTGTCTGACATCCAAAGGGAATTGCAAATTGTACTGAACATCAATTAAGGAAAATGACTTCCATGGTGCTTCTGAAGTGTGAAAAAAAAACAATGGGATTGCTGTGTACGTTTCCAAGGGAACAATTTTGAAGGAGATGGCTGCCAAAATTCAGTAAGTTAAGCAAGCATTCTTTCTTTTTTTAACACAGTCCAGGAACTTTCTGATAGCATCTCATACTTACAGTATGTAGTTATACCTTTTACTTGCTTAGCCTTCTATTAGGAGCATAACTTTGAATCTGATGATGATGGAAAATGTTGTATCAAAGATGGTCACATCATAAAAATGAACCTTTCTTTCATGATGGTATAATGCCACTCCCTTCATGTTAACACAATTATGTGAACTGTAGTTAAGTCTGGAAAAATGTGTGAATGTCTTCACATATGTTTTGCTAACTGTAAATGTGTACATGCTTTTAATTCTAATAAATCATAAAAAAATCATAAGAATTACTTTAGGAGTGACCTTCATGTATCACCTTGAGATTTGATGAAATCATAGGCAAACACATGTCACATAGGAAGAGACATGCAGAATTCATATTTAAAGGTATATATGATGTTTACCAACCTTCAACAACAATAAATCCAGCAAATGTAAGAACCACTGTCAGAACAGCAAATAGAACAAACATCAAAACTGGAATTCCACAACATAATGCCACAGAAATAAGGAAGAGTGCCATTATGGGATGTTGCACCAAATATACTGCAGTCATGTCCAAGAATTCAGAGGTATGCAATTCTCTCATAATTCGCTGAGCACCCAAAACAATCTGCTGCCCTATTATGCAGAAGAAACACAAAGAGATATTCAGTCATAAAGGCTGGAAGATGGCAAATTTCTTGAAATATTCCGTGATCAACTAGTCTGCTTTCTGTAAACATTCTTTAATTGAACATTTACTTACTAACTCTGGCTGTGCAATGCAATGTGCTCTATTTCAATCAAACTGGTTAAGAATCATATGTTGTGTCCTCCTAGTATTCAATGAAATATAACAATATATTCCACATAAAAAAAAATGTATAACTTTGACTACTCTAACCCAAAACCTAAACTAACATTAGGGCAGCTCAAGTTAATACAGCAGTTCTGAGCAAATAAAACATTCAACTCTTACTCCGAACACCACTAACCCCGATTTGCCTCTTCTTACAATTCATGGTCCATTCTGCCTTTCTGCCTTGCTAATTAGCCCAAAAAATCCAATTCAATCATGCAAATTAGCCATGCAAAAGCAGCATAAAATCCCACCCCCTTTAAAGAATTAATTTTCCACTTATTTCATGAATAAGTAGAGTTATCTCAACAGCAAAAAAGTTATATCTGAACAAAGTCATAAGAACTTCCACTAATAAAACAAAAACAACCTGGAAAATTATAAAAAACATGACTGGAAATAGCCAAGCTTCTACTAATGTGTCTTGTTTATAATGTTGTATTTTAGCATCCTGTTGCACTGATTTTCATCCATGATATGTATACAGTTGCCACCTTGTAGTGCACTCAATTTCACCTGTTACTTCACGACATGTGAAATTTTGAATTTAACGGAACTAATCAGATCTTCACCTCTGGAGATAGGCGACAAAGGAAATAGTAGGTCTAAGAACATAGAAAAGACGGATGTCTCTGAACTCAAAGTAACTCAGGGCTTAAATGGTAAAATAAATAACGAAAAATCAGTTAAGGTGATGCCTAAATTTGGATCAACTCGTCAATCAAACAGGATAAAAAACTCAACATCTGCAAAACAATGATTTTTTATGGTCAATGTAAACCAGAATGGTAGCAATAATTCTAATAAGTTTGTCACACAAACTAATGATTGTTCAGAAATTACCCAAGATGGAAAAATCAATTCATTAGTAAACAGCGAAAACCCTAAACTATTTTTAAAAATTTATCATCAAAACATTTGTGGTCTAGAATTTAAAATCGATGAGTTACTGGCTTCCTTGCATCCAGATTTACCAGATATCTTGTGTATATCTGAACATCATTTAAGTTCATTACAAATTCAGCTTATTTCACCGGAGGAGTATAATCTTGGTACTGAATTTTGCAGACAATCCTTCCATAAAGGAGGAGTATGTATGTATATTCATAAGCGGTTTTCCTTCTCAGTAATAAATATAGCAAGACATTGTAAAGAAAAGGATCTAGAAGCATGTGCTTTAAAATTGAAATTATCATCCATAAATGTTTGTATTATTACTGTGTATAGATCACCTAGTGGAAATTTCCAGTGCTTTTTAAATGGCTTAGAAAATATTCTTAAAAAAGTTTACAAATCAGGTATCCATCTAATAATCTGTGGGGATATAAATATAAACTACCTTAATGAATCTAAAGAGAAAAATGAATTAAATAATTTATTAAATTCATACAATCTTGTAAGTATAATTCATTTTCCCACAAGAATTACTAGCAATTCAAAAACTACCATTGATAATATTTTCCTTGATTCTACCAAATTTGTAAACTTTGTAACCTCCTCATTATCAAACGGCTTATCAGATCACGATGCCCAGATGTTAGAAATATAAGGAAAACTGACTCATACTCTATAATGGAATTTAAAGATAAGCTGAGTGAGGAGCTATGACAAACCATATTTGATAACACCAACAAAGATGCGAATGATATTTTTAATTCTTTTTTGAATACATACCTGCAGATTTTT